GCAGTCTCTTTCTGTGAAGAGAGCCCACTCATTTCCTCAGCACTGCAGTATCCGAGTTAGGCTTTAAACAGCAGTAGGGATGTCTCCAGTGTCAGAAGAGTTCAGCAGCAGAGTCACAAACACAAAACTGGGAGAAAAAACCCAAAGCGTTCACACTTGCAAGTCAGGCTCCAGCAAGAGGCTCAGCTGAGAGCTGCAGGCTGAAGCTGTGCTCAGTTCTCCATGGGCTTTGTCAGCCCCACACCAGCTACAAGACAGCTGAAGTCAGGCAGTGGCACAGCTCTGACATTCTCAAAGACAAGACTGACAAGTCCAGATCCTCTGACAGAGCTTCCTATTTTCTACTCTATGCTTACAAATAGCTGCTCAGTCGTTCATAGTAGCAAATCAATTCTCCTGCTTCCTATTTTATAGGGAAATGGGAAAATTGCTCCCCATTTGCCTTAATCCTGCACTGATTGTGGAACTGAACAGAAGAGGGTTTCATAAATAAGCCCAGACTTACTTTGTTTCAGACAACTTGAAGCTGCTTAATCCCTCAGAGTGAATCACTTTTAAAAGGGACTTGACATAAGGCAGGTTGCATTTTAAATTGCCAAGTTACATTCAGATCTAAATCAACATTATTTAGCACTTAAGTGGTAAAACTTCAGCAGTAAGGTTGTCCTACTTGCATAAGAGATCCAACAAATGAACAAAAATCTGTCTGTCTGCTGATATGCATGCAGTTTTGTACCCTGCAGTGTATGGAGCTAGCTTAGGTACTGAGAACAACATTCTGCATCCAGCATCCCACACAGAGTATTGCACTAAAAACGTATGTACATTAGAGTAAAATGTGAAGTCAATCAAGTTCCACAACACCCCTTCTGTGGTGTTCTGTGCAACAACTGTGGCAGGATAATATCAGCCTGGACAAACCACTGCATCACTGCAAACAGATTGCTTTTGCTAACTCAGATTACCTCAGACATCTGTGAGCAGCACTTGAAACAGTGCCAACATTTAAATTATGGAACCTGAATAATTCAGAGGTTGAAGTTATGCTCTCAAAAGCCATCATCTTCTCATGGTGGCAGGGAGACTACTACCTTTTCCGCATTGAAATGGTTCGACCAGGACAGTTAAGAAGTTTCACAGAGTAGAGACACTAACTCATAGCTGGGAGAGCAAAATAGGACATGGACACACACACCTTCAAAATACGATTTCCTTCTGATGCAAGTAAAGTTTAGGTGTGCAGAGGTGATCTGCCAGTCTTAAATCCTTGAAGGAAACTAGTCTGTGAAGACAAAAATCAGTTGAATTGCCAGTACGTGCTAACCTTCGTCCATATCAAATCAATGTATCAAAGCATGCTTTGCAATTAAGTCGTAGCACATTAACATCTAAAACACAGTAGACTTCTGTGCACTTGACGGAATTCCAGTCTCTGTTCAGATGCAGTCTGACACAGGTCAGTTCAAATACTGAACTAGAATTTACTTTACAAATGCAGACTCTGTGCAACGATTGCATATCACATACACGGGAGAAAACCACTGAAGAAAACAGAAGCTGAAATAGTAAAAATTCAAAACATTAAAGCAGAGGTGAGTTCAGGTTCTCCACTTGCTGACTTGAATCACAGTTAAATGTCCTATATACATCTATCCTATACATGCACCATTTCCCTCACTCTATAGCTGCACACCTGCAGGAGCAGCACTGTTTTCTGTATACTTATAAAGATGTGTCTGTTTGGGGTGTTTCAAGACCCATCTAAGCCCATTAAAAAAAAAATAAATAAATAAAAGGATTTTTAAAGTCCATTGAGACAGAAAATGCACCTAAAGCTTATCAGGGGCCTTCTCTTAAACTGGGAGGTTTGAGCTCAGCACTTACAGAGCAGCCTGGTGAAGCCATGGACACACAGCACCACTCTTGCTTGGCATGCTACAGCAGAAACTTTATTCAGTTCATTTGGAAAATATTTGCAACCAAAATTTATTTTTGTAAACTCACAGAAATAAGCTTTAACATAGAGGCTGTTACAACTCAAATACAGGTAATACTTTCAGCAATAACTTACAGATACAAACTAATGATAAACTACAATTTCACAGAGAATTGTAAACATTTTGCACAATTGTCAGTCCTTTCTTTTAGGCAAAGTGCTCTTTTGATGACAAATAAATTAACACACACATAACTAGAGTGGACTACTTCCAGACAATACAAAAAGGTGTTGAATAAGGCTTGTAAACAATGTAATAGTTAGTTATGCAGAATCCATAAAAGTGTCTTGCAGGCTAAATACACTTACATACCTGGGCAGCAAAATTGATCTTGAAAATGCTTTGAATGTTAAATAAAAAGTTAACATTAATATCTTTCCAATGATATTTTTAATACTCAATAAATGACTTAAGGTTACACCCTTAGTAGCTTATATCCCTGACAGAAAGGAATTAGGTGTGACTTAGTGGCAGTTGTGTCATTGAGTGGGGTAGCAGAGGCTGGAGTCCAAGAGCTGTCGGAGAATGAGCTACAAAACCAGAAATATTTACTGGTCAGCTTCAGGGGAGGCACAAAAAGATCATCAGCAAGTCATTCCCACTGGGCAGAAAGAGTCCTCTGGTCCCAGGCACTGCAGCGTGCTCTCTCTGTCCCAGCCCAGCATCTACCCACAGCCCACCTCACACCCCTGCTCTGGAAGGAAATAAGCTCAGGCCACAAGTGCAGCTTGGAGCCCAGTTCTCCCCAAACCTTTACAGTCCCTCCTAATCACAAATATGAGCCAAAGCTGTTGACTTGCTGGGCCATAAAGACATGCAACGACTGAAATATACTTTTGACCTCTGGGCTCCCTCCTCCCCATGTGTCACTGTGAGGGAAGCTGAAGTTTTTGGTGAAGTTGCTGGATTGAGTGTACCTACAGTCCTTGGGGTAAGAGCCAGGGAGTGGGTGCTCTTAAAATTACCTATTATTAAAAACCTGGCACGGATGCTTAAAAAAAAAGTGTTTGGTTTCTTATTACTAATATTCATAGACTGGAGGAAGCTCAAGAAGTGGTCTTGCACCCAGGTCTTCAGCTCTGCTCTTACAGTGAAGGGCCTCTGCTTGAAGAGGCACACTTCTTAATGAGGTGTAGATAGCAAGTAGTAATAAGATACAGAATCATCAGTTGGAAGGGACCTTAAAGATCATCTGGTTCCAACCCCCTGCCATGGGCAGGGACATACTAGGAACTAAAAATCCTTTAAGTTTCCTTAATCGGTACCTGATAAACTGTGCTTGTTACAGTCGATAATGATTTCACTTGTGTATGTGGAGTTGTACCTACCATCCATATAGCTGTGCAGAGCAGTTAACATTGTCCCGTCCTGGGGTACGTACGCAGAATACGCCATCTCTTCTAACATGGGTGGAGACAGCCTGGAGGGCTGAACGGCTGTGACGGGAGCACTAGATGAGTGATTGGGGCTGACGTGTTTCTTGTGGCGTGCTCTGCAGTTTTGAAACCACACCTGAAAAGGGGGAAAGTTTACATCATGTTGAAAGGCTGTGTTCAGTTTCCACATCAGCACCATAAAAACACCGGAGTTCTAACTTCAGCTGAACTGGGTTAGTTAATCAGGTCTCTGACATAACACTGATAGCCCAAATGAAGCATCATCCATTCAAAGCCTGCACAGTTTCTCAAGCAAGTGTGGCTGAACCAGGGAAGCTCCAGCAGAGACCAGCACCCCCAAAGGGCAGGCACGGTGCAGGGCTGCCGGGGGCATAGCTAGTGCCGTCCCTCAGCACGGCTGACCGTGCAGTGGCTGTTCACAGGATGCACTCTCCTCTTCACACTGGAAATGTGCAGGATTCCTTTTTTTGCTGCCACATACCTTGTTTCTGGCAGCAAAACTGTTAATCTTCCGGGCTGGAACAAGCCAAAGGGACTGCAAACTTAATTTTATATAAACATATAAATATATAATTTATACAATATAAAAATTTGTCTCTATGATGAAAGAGCACGCATACACTCTTTGCTGAAAGGCATCATCAAGCAAAGATTCGAAGTTTGTCTTTCTCCCTGTTTTGGATGGCATGAGTGTATATTTTAACTTTGCTTTCTAGAACAGGTCACTCAATAATCACTTGCTGCTGAGTGCCATTTTGTAAGACTGCAGCTCTTAAGAACAGACTATTAAAGTAAAAAAATCTGTATTTAGAAGACCTTAGTGGCAATTTCTTTACCATTTAGGCTGAGAAATTTCTTCCTGGAAGATTATTAATCCTCTACACGACATGCAAGAGGAATACAGGAAGTTTTCCAAATTCACATGTTTATTCTAGACCTATTCCTGACTAAGGATGTTGTCCAAAGTTATGTGAAAACTGCCAGATTAGGTCTTTTTCCATCTCAGCATAACTACATGGAGAAAGTTGTTCTTAAGCATTTCCAAAGAATGAGTACCAGCCTTTGTCATTCAGTGTCTTAGCACGGTTACCTGTATAACACGCCTGCTCAAGCCCGTTCTTTCTGCCAGTTTCTGGAGCGTTTGTGCATCTGGATTGTTGTCCTGAGCAAACTGTGCTTGCATAACCTGAAACAGCAAGATAAGAGATGGCGGGTTAGTGTGCGCAGCATCAGGGACTCCTCGCAGACCGAGGTCCTACTCCTTGCCTGTAATCTCTAGTCCCCGACAGTCCCAAATACATTAAGGAATAAAAAATCCCAAAACATAGAAAATCTGCCCAATCCCCTTATTATGCTCAACTGAGCTGCAACATTTACCAGGAATGGGGTAAATTCTGCTTGGCAATAGTAAGACATGCAGGGGGTGCTCAGTGAGGGTGGCATTAAAAGGACTGAGAGAAAATTCACTGCAGAGCAATTTGAACATCCCTGATAATGTCTGCAGCAGCAGACCACAGCACAAGGAAGGAGGGGATTTTGATTCACCTCTCTGAACTTGTCAGGCACTATCTGCATCTTGTGTTATACAGAGCAACTTAACTCCGGCAGCACAGAGGGTGGACTTGGAAGTTGCTTGTGCCTCATTCACCTTTAACCAGCCCAAGGAACACAGCAGCTCCCCCCGTCGCCTGCCCTGCACTATGTGGCTGTTCAGTTACACACACCTTTTACAGAAAGCTGCTGCCCACATTTGGCATTAGGATATGAGTAACTTTTCTTTTTGGCAGTAGATGTCACCTTGGCCTCACCCTGAACAGTTCCAGAGCCTGGGAGAGGTAACTGTTTATGGAAATAAGGCCCCGTGGATTTCTGAAGGTTGTCTTCAGCAGCTCAGTAAACTGTAGCTTCTCATTTCTGGATTTTGACCCTCGGTAGCTTGCAAATTTTTCCTGGCTGCTTCTTTAGAGACTCCGACTATTTGTCTCCATTTAGAAACACCAAAACTATTTACTTCCCTACTGTTCCACACAGAGACATCAAAGAACATGGACATCCTTTGGTGCAAGTACTTCACGAGGTGTGTTACCACATGCTGTCACCCTGACAGTCACTTGGTCCTTCTGATGCTTCCCTTGCTGGAAGTCTTATACCAGCATCAAGGTCAGGTACAGACAGATGCACTGAGCAGATAGCAAGTGTCATTAAATAACAAGAGGCCTTGAGAACTCAAACACCTGATGAAGTAGGTCACAGTCTATTTAAAAAACAGGAAAAGGGAGGGAACATGGAAGTTTGATTGACTGCAAATGGGAAGAAGCTCTGAATATGGTTCCTATGCTAATGGCTGTGCCTGTCTCCCCTTCAGCTATTGCTGGAAAAGGAAGTTCCCCTTTGCAGAAGTTCAAGCTTGATGTCCAGAACCCTTGTCAGATTACTGCCAACACGCTCGTTTGCAATAATTCTGTTTCCAGTCACGGCTGAAATAGCAAAGCAAGCTTTGAACAGCCACATGCCATGTAATACAGCACTGCTGACATGCCTCACACCTCAGCTTCAGTTTTTCTCAAGTGCTTTCACCACAAACAGGAGGACAGGCAAACAAAGCAGAGCTCACACTGAGACAGTAGAAAACAAATGCTGCTGCAGCAGCCACATGCGACCAGAAATTCACATGTATTGTAAGCTGAAAGCAGGGACATGTAGTTGGGATTAGGTAGAGGACACAGCTTCCTTCCCACTGCAGGCTGAAACCTCTAACTCTGGTCTCACCAGTACCCCTCTCGTGGGGAGCTGGCTCTAGTCATGGTGATTTTTTCTAGTAGAAGGCTCATTTAAGTGAAGTGGTGATCCAGAGGGTGAAATAACTCATATCTGAGGTAGTCCAGAGCTAACTCTTGCCAAGGGAGCAACAAGACAAGAAGCCTTGAAAGCAGAGCATTACAACAAAATCCAACCTTCCACCCTTGTTAGTGTCTTGAGGTCATACACAGAACCCACCTTCAGGATGGCTTTTCACATTATAGAATTCTAAAATACTTTGTCTGTATTATATGTAGCCGTGTAAATGCCTGATTAAATAGATTTCATCAAGCAATCAAAACAGAACCACCTTTTTGTTTCCACTCTGCAGAATTACTGGCTGCCCCGGGGAAATAAAAAGCTTGAAGAGTAACTATTTCATATTAAACTGCTGAAGCTAACAAACAATTCCAGAAACATGCCGTGTCTTGATAGTTTATGAAAGAGTTTAAAGCATGCAAGTTTTTTCTTTCCCCCCATATGCATCTGATTTCCTATCAGTTCAGCACCTATGTCCTGCAAAAACCTGAGCCATGCAAGCCTTTAGCACTGCCTCTACCTGGAGCTGATCTGCTGTGAAGCTGGTCCGAGCTCTTTTTGCTGGTTTTGGATGATTCACATCTTGTTCTGTTAGTAGTGCTCCTTCCACACTAATCCCATTACCTGGAGCATTAAAAGGAAAACACCACTGTCTGCTAAACATTCAAAACAATGTTATTTGTAACTCAGGCTGTTCTGCAATGACAGCACTTGGCCAGCTGAACTTCAGCTTTAAAAAAGCCATATTCTCTTCAGAGTTAAATTGGTCTGGCACCATTACCCATTTCAACCCAAATTACTCCCAAGTGAGGAAAGGAATAGATCCAGCATGGTACTTTATCAGGTAGATACACTCTTGCTTTCTTTTCCTTAGGACAGAAAACCAGTTACACAATTTAAAAATTAAAAAAAAAAAAAAAAAACCAAAAAACAAAAAAACAACAACAAAAAAACCCCCATCAAATAGCTTGCACATTATTTTAATTCAGAACCTGCGCTTCCAGCCTCAGCAAAGGCAGGTAATTACCTCTTCATAAGGAAGATGAAGTGAACCCCAACAGTTTAATTAAAACTAAACCACAAACACAGTCCGTAACAAAAGCAGCATGTTACCATTTTCGACTTCTCTTTTCAGGTTGTCCAACATGCAGTCGTAATGTACTCTGCACAGGACTTTCTCCTCGACCAAGGCAAACTCCTCTCCCGTAGAAAGCTGCCTCTTGCAGGAGAAGCAGGCGAAGCACGCCAAGTGGTAGACGTTCCCTTTAGCCCTGCGGACCCAGTCGGTAGCATGGATGTGCCTCCCGCAGCGGGAGCAGCGGGTCCCGTACCGCCTGGAAAACAGAGGCCACCACAGCATGAGAGCAAAGACACCAACTGCCTGGGCAGGAGGGATGCTCTGGGAGGGCGACCGGGATGTGGCAGCACAGCTGAGACCAACAGCAGACGGGCAGGCCACAAGGATGGGGACAGCGCAATTGTGTTCTTACGTGGGAAACAAAAGTAAATCCATGACTTTTATCCAATTGCTTAAGGCAAGACCATACTTAACTACAGAAGTTAATATTTTCATAAGCCAAAGAGGAAAATAGAATCATCATAAATTCCTACATGAATTTACAACTCAACTTCCTATAATTCCTCTTTTAAAAGCTGTGAGGGGGAGATGGAAACAGCTGACACCATGTTCAGAAGTCTCCCAATTATTCAAGTACATTTCACATTGCTCTAGTGGTAGTCTGAATTATTATATTTAGCTACACCATCCCTCACTACCCATTTAGCTCCCTTCAGCAGAAGGGGGAAAACCTGTGTCTTCATAGTTATTTCCTTAATTACCATCACATTATGATTTTAAAAGAAATTCAAATATCTGCAAGGATTTACATTACTACAGTAGAATATTTCCCTTTGAAGAGGAAACCATCCACCAAGGGATGTTGATTATTTAGATAAGAATTTATCCTTATGAGTCTGCAAAGATTCTCTTTGCCTTTCCAGAGTTGGCAGCATTCAGCCTGCCTCCTCCCTCTCCTTCAGTGGCAAAACTGACCAGCTGAACACAATCCTTTCACCACACAGGTGAGGATCCCATAAACACTTCGGCCTGTGGCAGGACCTCCAATCACACCAAAATTAACAGCACTTTGTTTTTGCTTTCTGGACTGAAGATTTTTGTACTTCCAGGCAGAACATCATCTCAACTGTGCCTCATATTCTCTGTCAGCATTGCCAAAGAACGATTCTTCACGCATACAATACCTTTCCAACTTACTATGACATGAACTCCTATTCTGTGCCCCCCCCATGCATACAGAAGTAAATGATTGTATAAACGCAGTACCTGTGCATAACAGTGGAGGGGCAGAGGGGGAGACTTCATAGGCCATTGCATTAGACAGACTTGGGGTCTCCCAAGTCCCTCTGCAAGAAATGGCAGTTTACTGAAAATAAACCTAGAAAATGCAACCCAAAGAGCCTCAACATGAGTTTTAGTTGCAGCTTAAGCGAAAAAGTAACAAGCAAGTGTAATGTGTTACTGAGTAAAATGATATTCCTGTGCGAGATACCTGAAATAGTCGAGTTTGCAGAAGATATCTTTATCTTTGATATAGCAGCTCGTGTGCCTTCCTAGGGACGTCCTGCAGACACTGCAGGAGAGGCAGCGCACATGCCAGCAGAGGTCATTCACCTGCAAAACAGAACAGAACAATCTCCTTCCAGGTCGGTGCTGCCAGCATTGGGCTTCAGCATCACAGAACCCGGTTTTCCATCCATACCGACACGGCCAAAAAAAATAATCACATGTGCCCCGATTCACGGAACACTCCTCTTCGGTGTAAAGCGTCTTTCCCAGAGCACAGCTGGTGCATTGAAGGGTAATTGATGTGATGATGGAGGTCTTCCGAATAAGCTTTCATGGTTTTGCAATTAAAAGCAGCAGAAGAGAGAGCAAGAGATCCAAGTTCCATGTAGGTATTTTGTGCCCGGTGCTGTTCTCATAGCATTGGAGTAACAGAGCAAGTCTTGGCCTCACATAACCTCAGGAAAGCAACGAACTTACTTTTATTTCCCAACCTGTCAAAGTCCTGTGCAACAAAGAGCAAACCTTGCAGAGGGATCTGAAACTTTAAAATATGAGTATTGAAGGACACTCTGTGTGTGTGTGTGTGTGTGTGTGTAGGGGGGTAATGCTGCCAAAGGGAAACACACCACAAGCCATGTCTTCATTTGCCAGGTTTCTGTTGAAGCAAAGTGAGCAAACGAAGCCAGAGTCTCAGAATACTAGCAGATGCTTTAACAAGTTCAACAGTTCTTTACCATCAATGTCTATGAAACTGGACACAGCCCTGGGAAGCAGCATGAATCAGCAGACCTGAAAACTCACATTTAATTTTTTGGCAAATAAGTTACATGCATTTATTTTAATTTTTCCTTTTCTGTGAAGAGAACTCTTGGTCCTGCAGACACTGTGCTTCACACATCAGCTAAATAACTTAAATCATTTGGGAATCCGAGACTCCCAGTGACCACAGAAATTAAGTAACAAGCCTCTGGTTAATCCCATGCTGCGAATTCTCTAAACCAAACAATGACTAAATTCAGATTTTTTTATTTTTTTTATTTTCTGAGCCAATTTCTCGTTTCACTCCAAACAGCCCACATATTGCCTGGGGCAAAGCAGCAGACTTGAGATAATCCAGGATGTGCCTTTCATCAGACCCTGCCAGACAAATCACAGCGAAAGCTCGGCATTGACTCCAGCACTCGCGCTGGAGTCGCCCGTTTCAGTCATCCTCCGGGTTGTAACGTTATGTTTTGCAGTTGCCCAGCGCTCTCCCTCGCTGGCAACATCTCCGCGTGTGCTGACAGATTTACACTGCAGTATAATGTGAATCTGTTGACCACGGCTGTCACCAAACCCATCCTCC